CGCCGGCAGAAGTACAGGCCTGATTTCTCTACCAACCTAGAGCTTTCTCTACTCAAGATGAGACGTATCTGGACTGATTTATGGGAGTAGATACATTCGGACTGAGGGAACAATTTAAATTTGTTGGGATCACTACCAGCTCCAGATAGAACATCGCGCAAAGGAGYGAGGCGCTACTTCTTCTTTGCACTCCCCTGAATCAGGCAGCWTTCTCCCCTTCAGGAGAAAGAAGGATGTTCTGGAATCCGTACTTGGCCTGAAATYTGTGCTGAATACAGGTGTGCAGTGTATTYGACACAAAACTCTGGCCAGGGGCATTCAGAAGCTGCATGTATACTCACCTCTCCGCTGCCTCCCTTCCTTCCTCTCAGACTGCCACCCCTTGCCACTCTGCAGGCCCATCTATCTGCTCCTATGTGTCAGTTTGCAGGCCTGGATGCCACGATCTTCACCCGAATAGAACGCAAGGTCATTATTCCTGTTTTTGCTGCAGCTTTCAGTCCAAATACACAGATAATGACCGGGCGTTCTATTCAGTTTGCAGGCATACAAGGGAATGTTGCAGCACGTGGTCATTATACCTGTATTTGGTGCAMCTGTCAGTCTACATACATTGATGATGGCCGGGCACTCTATTCRGGTGAAGACGGGAGCTGCTTACATACCTGCCTGCCTGCCTGCGGACTCAGTCTGCCGATTGCCTGTCGGTGTGCAGGGCATACACGGCGGCATACGGCGACATATTGCAGCATGGTCATTACACCTGCATCTGGTGCAATTCAGTTTATATCAGGGTATCAGCCGCTCGGGGTTTTAATGGCCCCAATACATTCAAGATGTTGGGTCCGTATGAACGTATTTGGTCCACGCTGCAGTCGAAATACATCTAGAATCTTGAGTAATGAAGTGAGACACACTCTCTCTGTTCTTCGAGTTGGCATCAGCTCAACAACTYGGCAATGAATGGCCAGGATGAGTAGCGATCCCTCGGTAATCGCCCTGATACATTCAAAATGATGGGTCAGTACGAACGTATCTGGTCCACGGTACAGTCCAAATACATGTAGAATCTTGAGTAATGGAGTGGG